GCGGGGCGGGGCCCAGGGTGTGGGAGGGCCTCTGCGAGGTCGGTGATCCCGACGGGGATCTTGCTCTGTCCTCCGGCATTGGGGGCCGGGCAGACTTGTGCACATTCCAGCCGCGCCTTGGCGGTGCCTCGCCCTGCAGACCACATGCCGGTGTTCTCTCTCCGCAGTACTTCCTGGGGATTCTGAGAGCCAAGGGCACCCTGCAACCACCGGAGCGCCAGGCCCTGTTTGGGCCCTGGGAGCTCATTTACGGCGCCAGCCAGTGAGTGGAAGGGGCGTGGGGAGAGGGATGGAGGGGGCGCCTCGGCTTCTGGCACTGCACCGACAGGCCCAGGTTCATATTCCGAGCCTGCCAGTGGCCTCACCTGTGGTCCTGGCCCAGTGCCCCAGTTCTCCATCTGTAAAATGGGGTAACAGCACTACCATGGGTCAGGGGTAAAGGAATGAAATGCGGTGCTCAGGCAGTTCTTTGGCAGCTGTTATTGTCCTCACCCACGCAGAGAGCTGCTTCCCTACCTGGAAGGAGGGCACTGGGGGCAGGGGCTGGAGGGCTTCTGCCCCCACCTGGAGCTCTACACCCAATTTGCTGCCAACGCAGACAGGTCCCAGACCACCCTGCAGGTAACTTGAAGGTGACCTCAAGCCCTTCCTCTCTTGCCCCATACATTTCCTCTTCATCTGGAGACTTACACTTCATACTGTCCCTGCATTCATAGAGCCCTGTGGGAGTCCAGTTCTGTGCTCTGTTCCCTGTAGGGAGATGGGTTCTCTCAGGAGCACACAGCTTGCTGAGGGCTGGGGATGTGCACGCAGGTGAATACAATGTAAGGAGTGGCTTCTCTCTCTGCTGCCAACCCGCTCCCTCACTCCAGGAACAACTAAAGAAAAGCAAGCGTTTCCGGAGGTTCGTGCGGCTTCAGGAAGGCCGCCCTGAGTTTGGGGGCCTTCAGCTCCAGGACCTGCTCCCTTTGCCTCTGCAGAGGCTTCAGCAGTGAGTGAACTCTCCCTGACTCAGCCAACTTCTCTTTCCTGAGGCCCTCACCTTTGTGGGACTCGTGGGGCCTGTCCCAATGCCTGTCTCCTGGGACAAATTGCTCCTGGAATCATTTTTGCAAGAGCAGAGAGAACCCACGGGAGTACCTGGAGTCTGCAGCCTCAGGCCCTTAGCTGGGAGGGTGGAACTCTACATTGAAGCCGGGGGGCTTGTGACGGGCTAGTGACGCGGTATTTGGAAGAGTTTGCCGAGATGAGAGCCTGGTCCAGTTTGGAATTTCTGAAGAGTCTGCCCGACTCTTCCATGTGGGACGGGAAAGGGTGATGTGGTGGGAGCCCAGGTTTTGAAAGAGGGGATACCAAGCCAGAGCAGATCTTTCCTGGCTTTGCAGTGGAAGTACGTGTATGGGGTTATGAGTGTGTCAGGCAGAGGGAATTTTTCCCAGCTCTACGTCCCCTCATAGACTTCCAACTGTCCAATTCTAGGTATGAAAATCTTGTTGTTGCTTTGGCTGAAAACACAAGTCCCAACAGCCCTGACCACCAACAGCTCACACGTATGTTCTTGCTCTGCCAAAACTCAGAGACAGAAGGCTGCCTTTCTTGTGTCCCTTTTGGGTTGTGACCTCCAACAATGTCTGGTATGACCCTGTCTTCCTTTGACGTACATGATGTTCCATTGTCCTGCCTGCTCTTCAACAAGTTAGACCCTAACCCTGGGTCCCTAGGGAGTCGCCTTTCTCCACCACCAGTCCCCAGAGTCACACATGTGCTGGGAATGTTATTCCAGGGGCTGCGCGGCTGATAAGTGAGACTGCCCAGCGAGTTCACACCATTGGTCAGAAACAGAAGAATGACCAGCACCTCCGGCGTGTCCAGGCCCTTCTCAGCGGTCGCCAGGCGAAGGGGCTCACCTCAGGTAGTCTGCATCCTTCCCCCAAGCCCTCAGTCTGCCCTTTTCTTACTCACATTCCCAGTTTCCTCGGCCTCCCTTTTCTTTTATACCCTCGGAGCATGGTCCTGGAGTTGCATCAGAATAACAGCTCTCCCATCCCCCAGGTCGCTGGTTCCTACGCCAGGGCTGGCTGTTGGTGGTGCCTCCCCGTGGGGAACCTCGGCCCCGAATGTTCTTCCTGTTCTCTGACGTGCTTGTCCTGGCCAAGCCTCGACCCCCATTGCACCTGCTGCAGAGTGGCGCCTTTCTCTGCCGGGCCGTCTACCCCATGGCCCAGTGTCAACTCCAAAGGGTCTTTGGCCACTCGGGGGGCCCTTGTGGTGGACTGCTCAGTGTAAGTAATAAGACGGGGGTCCTGGGTCAGGTAGGAGAGGCCGAACATACGCCTCCAATACCTATGCCCCGTTTATCTCCTTGGCCTGGACCCTCTTCATAGGAATTGGGCCAGCTACATGGAGAGAGCATAACGGGGTCTTTGGGTTCATATCTAGTTCTCACATGAGTCCTGAACGACCCCCATGGGAGCAGCGAGGCCTTGAGCTTTAGCCTGGACCTTTCTGAGCCATGCATTAAGAGGTGGTCTCTCCCCAGCTGTCCTTTCCTCATGAGAAGCTGCTGCTCATGTCCACGGACCAGGAGGAGCTCCTGCGCTGGTACCACAGTCTGACTTTGGCCATCAGGTAGGTTGTCTCTTTCCTTGGTAAGTGTTGTGATGAGGCCCAGGAGCAGGAGATGAGCAGTTCTGGTCCTGTCTCATGTCCTACATCTGTGGGACACCACCCCACCACCCCTACCCCCTAGTTCAGGGGCCCTCAAACTTTTTAAACAGGGGGCCAGTTCACTGTCCCTCAGACCGTTGGAGAGCCGGAGTATAGTTTAAAAAAAAACTATGAACAAATACCTATGCACACTGCACGTATCTTATTTTGAAGTAAAAAAACAAAACGGGAACAAATACAATTATTTGTATTTGCATGTGGCCCACGGGCCGTAGTTTGAGGACCCCTGCCCTAGTTGATGAGAGTATGAATAGCGTGCTCACGCCAATACTTGAACTGTCTTCTCTCCACAGCAGCCAGAAGAACTAGAAGAATCTTATGAATTCCAAGACCCAAGATACTTCAAGGATAGTCAGGGTCAGGAGCACAAAACTAAACAAAACACAGAACCCTTCCTGGTTTGAGAAGGGTCATTTTGTGTTTGCCTGGGACTGGGTTATTTGACCAGCTCTTAAGAATCAGGAAGCCAAGTCTGACCCATTTGGACCTTCACAGAACCAGCCCCTCCAGCACAGAAGAAGGGACTTGGGGCTGACGAGCTTGGTGCTATGTGTATGGACAGTCGTTTATCAAGGCTATGGCTTTGCAAATGTGGCTATTTTTATAATTTTATTTTCCCACTGGATTTAAGTAAAGTTTTTTTGTTTTTTTGGAAAGGCCTGTTTCAGCTATGTGATGCGAGAAGAGGGAAGTCTGTGCCTGGGGGCTGGCATGACGGGGCCTCGGGAGTACAAGGAAAAGAACTGGAGCTCCCTCTGTCTCCCCGGCTCTCACACTGGGAGGCAGCATCTTTTTGTCCTAATAAGGGAAGCTTTCCAAGAAGGGCCAGTTGTTCTTAGGCACCTAGTATGGGTGTGCGTGTGACCAGCTGGAGTGGAAAAAGCACACGGGAGCGTCCAATCACAAGAACAGACTTGGTTTTACTAAGCCTTCAGCTGTCGTCCCTCCTTCCCAGAGTGGGCTGGGACTGGGGCCCTTTGCCGAAGCCTTGCAGCATCTTCTCCTTAGCCCCTGCTCCACTCCCCACGGAGCAGCCGGGTTCTTTGTCTCTGTGCTCCCGTGTAGGGGCTCTTCCCAAGCCTGACTGTCACCAGCCTCCTCGTCCTCCTCCTTCGTGCACGAGTCCTCAGGAAAGGGCATGCTCGCCTCTGTGAGGGGAAGACCAGGTCTGTCCCCGTTTCTGACACTTTGTCTGTACCGCCACCAGACTTTCAACCCCAGCCTGTTACCTGGTTCTGGAACCTCCACATCCTTGCTGGGCTTGTTCTTTTGTAGCAGCTGGTGGATGGTGTGTAACTTCATGTTCAGAAGCTCCTGCTGTGCTCCAGCCAGGGTAGTCACCCTGTGGACAGGTCCCCTCAGAGGCTGCCCAGTCTATATCCCCACTTCTCACCTGCCACACACGGCTCTCCTTACCGCTCAAAAAGGGGGTCCAGCTGGGCCATCAGATTGTTCAGGTGTTGTTCCGTCTGCGCCAGCTGTTGTGTCAACTGGGCCAGCTGTTGCTCTGGAGGTAAGGGAGAGAGGAGAGCAATGGTTAGTCACCTTCTGCTGTCCCCTAACTCCCTACCAAACAAGACATCTGCAAAACCCACCTGACTGCAATGATTCCTTCTTGCCTGCTTCTTCTTGGAGAACAGGAGCCTCCTTTTTCTCCTGCTGCAGAAGGAAATGGAGATACTGCAACAAGGCTCCCACCCCTGTCTCCAAAGCCAGTAAGAGGAGGAGGAGAATGTGAGGTAGAGAAAACTATTGGATTTTCACCTCAGAGAATCACAATCCCATCTAGTCCAGCTCCTCATCCAGGACATGAAGCAGCCATCAGTACGCCCTCACAAGCGGACATTCGGTCTACTCTAACACCTCCTGGAAGAGAACAGCTCCCTCCAGGTTGATAAAGCTCTGGTTGTTAGTTTATATACAAAGCCAAAAACTGTCCTTCATGTATCTTCTTTTCATTGTGCTGATAAGAGCCTTCCAAAATCATGTCTTTTCAACATGATAGCCCCTTGGGGATTTGACAACAATGGTCATTCCTCCCCCCCCCCCCCCCCCCCCCCCCCCCCATCACTTCCCTACGTCCTCTCTGGCTTAATATCACCAATCTTTTCCAGTCAGTGCTCATTTGACATGACTTTCTCTGGTTGCTTTACTGAACTTGAGCTTTTAAATCAGTGCCCCAAAGAGAATAAAGTTTTCTCCAGGAATGTTCTGATCATAAGATAACGCACAGTGCTTATTTAGGAAATGGGTTGTCACATCACACAAATGAACTTCATTAGCCAAACAATGAACTGTTTGCTGTTATGTTTCTTCTGGACTATACTTGGGTCCAAGAATAGAATTTATCTGTCCTCTTTAAATTTCATCATTGAACTCAGTCCTTTATCCTAGCTTGTCAAGTCTATTTGGGATCGTGCTCAGCTGTCCCTTCTAGTTTTACATCATCTCCAGATTGCTCTGGAGCTATTTTCCTATGCAATTGAGTGATAGGGCCAGGGCTGAATATACAGCCCTGGGAGATACTACTTTCCATCTCAACAGTTTCAATCCACCAAAATGTACTGTCAATTCATATTTCAGGGCCTCGTTCCCAAGAACATGAGCCTGCTGGGTACCTTGAACTCAAAAAACACTGACTACCGTAACCAACCTCTTGTGCCGAGGTTGGAATCTCACCAGGAACTCCACACTCGCTGGGTTCAAATCCCAGCTCCACTAGTTACTAGCTCTGACCTTGAGCAAATCACTTAAATCTCTTCGTTGGCTTGTTGCGAAGACTACACGTGATATTTATTATTTACAATTCACCATGTGCCCTTCACATCCATTGCCTCGCTGGATGCTCAAAATGACCCCATCATGTTGGAAAGCCAAGGAACTACTGTTCAATTCATTGAACGACCGGAAGATGTCTCTTGTTCTTGGTACCCTAACGCCCCCCTGGGAAATTCAGGCCCCGGGCATCCCCACCACGGGTCTCCCCGCACCTGCAAACACTTATAGAGCACGAAAGCCACGACGGCTGCGGTGTACAGCGCCCCCAGAGGCCACGCCCGGGCCCGCTCCTGCTGGTCTTTGGGCGGCGGCGGCCGCCGGGGTTCCGCGGCCTTAGGGCTGACCTGGGCTGGGTCCCCTGCGGAGGAGGGCGGAGGAGGGTCAATAGGGCTGGAACCCCAGGGCAGTCCCAGCCTCCCCCCAGCAGCCCTCGCTGGTACCTGGGTGTGCCCGGAGGTCGGGGCTGGGGCGGTCTCCGAGGACCCCCGGCAGCGCGGACACAAGCAGCAGCCCCAGAACACCCGCGGGCGAGACCGCGCTCGCCATTGCTGGCCGACAGACTAAGGCCCAGCGGCGCCAGGCAGCGGAGCGCCCCAGTGCTCATGGGTAGGCGCCCCCAGAAAGCCACGCCCACGCAGTGTAGGCGGGGCCACGCATATTTGCATAGGACCATTGGCCAAATTTTCCTAAATTAGTTAATTTCTTATCTATATTAGTTAGAATACCGCCAGAAGTCTCAGAAGATTATTCCAGAAAGTGATTTTTATTTCTTAAAAACCATCAATTTTCTCGCCCTAACCGAAAGGTAGAATTTCTGCTGGACCTATAAAGAGCGCGCGAAAAGGTACCTTTTAGGTGTAGTTCGCGCTGAAGGCCTGTTGCCTAGGCTACAGACGGAGGACTCGGTTCCTCATTTGCGCCTAGGGGAAAGTCCCCGGATCTCTGGCAGAGAGTGCCGCGTGCGCATGCACGTAGACCTCCCCCGCTTCTCCTTGTCAATCCGCCAAGAAGCGAACCCGTTAGGCGGGGGAGCCGAGCGGTGTGCGGCGGGGGGCGTCATCCGTCATCTCCTCTAGTTACGCAGGCGGTGCGTCTTGGCGCACTAACCACACGGGGCTCATTCTCAGCGCGGCTGCATTTTGTTGATAGTCTTTCTGCAACAGTTAACATCTACACAATGCAGATTCATTAACTTTGTCAATTATAATTATCACAATAAAGCTGGAAAAATCAAAATCCATTTTGATTCATTAAAATCAATTCATTAAAAACCAAGTAGCCTATTAATTACCGCTAGACTGTAAATGCTGTATCTCTTTTTCGTTACCATTTCATTCCTATAGCCTACATGGCTATAGCAAGCACTCCTTTTTTTAAAAAATTAAATGCATTGGGGTGCCACTGGTTAATAAATTTGAGCCGAAACCGGTTTGGCTCAGTGGATAGAGCGTCGCGACGCCTGCGGACTGAAGGGTCCCGGGTTCAATCTCGGTGAAGGGCATGTACCTGGGTTGCGGCACATCCCCAGTAGGAGATGTGCAGGAGGCAGCTGACCGATGTTTCTGACTCTCTCTCTCCCTCCCTCTCTGTAAAAAATTAATAAAATATATTTAAAAAAATAAAAATGAGGAAACTCAGGTTCCTAAAGGTTAAGTGTTGTTGATCAGGTAAGAGACTAGGCGATTCCAATCATTTTCTGCTTGTCTCCATATCATCTGTCTCACATCACCCCACCTCCAGGCCTTCCCACTTCTTGCCGACAGACTTGGGTAGTCTCCCACTGTTTCACACTATCTTTTATAACTGTCTGGGATATGAAGGGTCATCTTCCTGATTAGACCAAGAGCTCTTTGAAGAGGAGAGAAACCATTTCCCACTCACATTTGCTCTCCAGAGCTTGGCACATAAGTGATGGGCACTGGTACATGTGTATTAAATGAATGAAAAACACGTGTTAAATAAATGCATAAAATTCGGTATGTCTTCCTGTCTTTCCAGAAAGGAAGGGGGCACTGCAGGGAGAGACCCGAACCCAGGGGAGTTTGACCACCCAGAGGCAGCCTGGACGTCAGAACAGTGTACTCTAAACCTTGACTCCAAGCCAGTTGGTGTAGTCAAAGTAAATAAGTGGCTATGGGGGGAGGGAAGAGGGACAGGGGTATAATATGATAAATGGCCCCTAACTGATAGTTGCCTTCAGGGAATTTGGGCCCACTATTGCCAGATATTCTGATTTCTACACCTCTCCACCCCAGTTCAATAAATTGGGATTTTTAAAATTTGAAATCTCTGTTTTAAAATGTTAACAAGGAATATTTTGCATATTTGACACCTGTGTGGATCATGTTTTTAAAATTCTCTTCTCTAGGATAAAATAATCAGGAAATGAAACAAATAACAAGGGCCATAAAATAAGCTAACAATAAGGGTCAGAAATTCAGACTGAATTATTTGTATAACTGAATGTCTGATATAATCATGACAGTATAAAACTATATATAGTGCCCAGCCAGTATGGCTCAGTGGTTGAGCATCAACCTATGAACCAGGAGGTCACAGTTTTATTTCTGGTCAGGGCACATGCCCAGGTTGTGGGCTGGATCGCCAGTAGGGGATATGCAGGAGGCAGCCTTTAACGTTCTGCTCTCACATGAATGTTTCTCTCTGCCTTCCACCCTCTCTAAAAATCAATTTAAATTTTTTTTTTAAGTTTCTTGCATGTTAAGCAACAAACATACAAACAGTTAGGGAA